CACCGTCGACATTCATGCCTAAATCGGAAGACGATCCACGAGAGACCAATGCAGCAGGACAATGGAACGTTCGGCAAATAGAGAGCCCTCGCGTTCACATGACGCCTGCTTGATCCTGAAGGCAAACATCAAACTGTCACTCCCCACGCAGACAGGACAAAATGGACAATCAGCCTGGGAACACCCACACGCCGACAGAAATAATCGCAAAATCCTGGCTGAATCCTAGGCTTTACGAAGCCCTGAAGCTTGCGACCCAGCCGGCAGAAGCCTTGTTGGCGCTCAGAGTGGTCTTCGTCTTTTGAGCCTGCATGCTAAAGGCACGGACTTTCGGTCGAGGTCTTAGTGGAGGGTTGAGGGTTTAGGGTTTTGTCCTGTCCTAAACCAAGAAGCCTAAATTTTAAATCCTTGATGAGCGTTTGCAAATGATCTCGTGAACAAGGCGAGCCCTAATTGGATTGCATTGATGCTATCACCGAAAGTGCAACTTATCTGGCCCCCTATGTACCCCGAAAACTCGTTGACAAACCACTCCTTGCATCAGCAGCCGGATACCACAGAGCCCTAAGACAACCACTGACTGCAACCCTGAATAAACCCCGAGTTTCACCGTTTTAGGGTTTAGGGTTCAGGGCTTTAGGGTTTAAGACAGGGCCTTAATATTTAGATCAGGGTTTTGGGGCCGATTGTACTATAATTACAATAAGGAACCCCCAAACTAGCATTGGTACATATTCAGGCCGCTGCATTTTGGTTGAGGGTTCAGGGCTTTAGGGCTTTAGCGTTCAATTGTTTAGGGTTCAAGGTTTAGGGTAGGGTTTAGGGTTTAGGGTTTAGGGCTTAAGGGTTTAGGGTTTAACCCTCAACGCCGGATGAAGACCACTCACTGACCAGAGCTGGCATCTGAAGCATGCCCTAGGGGTCCCACGTACCTAAGAATCATATACTCTCCCAAATGGGTTAGGGTTTAGGGTTTGGGGTTTAGGTTTTTAGGGTTTTAGGGTTTTAGGGTTTTAGCGTTTTAGCGCTTGGCGTTTAGGGTTTATAACTACTCTCCGCAACCAAAGTAGCTTATGATTGGGTCCTTTGGACCCTTAGGCATACAGCACCGTACAACGTGCCTGCAAGATCGGCTCTGGGCCTGTTAAACCCTAAACTCTAGACCTTAAGTTAAAGGAAACTACAGGTGGGGAGTTTAGGGTTTTGTTTTTGGGGTTTAGGGTCTAGGGTTTAGGGTTTGGCGTTTAGGGTTTAGGGTTTAGGGTTAGGAAACTACAGGTGGGGAGTTTGGGGTTTGTAGGGCTTCTATAAGGCTTCCATAGGGTATATAGACCTTCTATAATTTCTCCTACAACTGTATCGGTAACTACCCACCTGAAAATGTCCTAGAATAAGCCATAAGCTCTCTAAACCCGATGAGCCCTAAACCCTAAACCCCAAAAGCCCCAATGTAGGGGCCTAGATAATTACCTGTACTGTTGTGGGGGTTCCTTATAATAATTGTATTATGAAGGACCCTAAAACCCATTCTAATTATTGAGACCCCTACATTAAGCCCTAAGCTCTAAACCCTAAACACCCCTAAAACCCACTCTACAATATAATCCTATTAAGAAGCCCGGGGACCAGCACTGATAGTTTTTCAAGCTTCTATAGTAGACCCTAAACCCTCAACCCTGAACCGTAAAACCCGTCAACACCCAGCTGCTGCAAGCAACCAGACCCTAAACCCTAAACCCGGAACTCCCCAAACCCTAAACCCCGAAACCCTAAACCCGAAACCCTTTAAACTCTAAGCCCTAAGCCCGACACCCGAAACCCGAAACCCTAAACCTTAAACCCTAAACCTTAAACCCTAAACTCGAAACCTTAAACCCGAAACCCTAAACTCCCGAAGCCCTAAACCCTAAACTCCCGAAACCCGAAAGGACCAGCCTGGGACAAGAGCTTCCTCAAGGCCCTCGGGTTCTTCACCACGCCATCTGACAGGACATACTAAACCCTAAACCCTAAACCCTAAACCCTAAACCCTAAACCCTAAACCCTAAACCCTTTTACGGTACAAGGCCATACAGTTGCTTGGAGGGTCGAGGTTGAGACTAAGGCCCTGAAGCCTTTGCTCTAGGGTTTAAGCTTAGGGATGCAGGGTTTAGGGTTTAGGGTTTAAGTTTAGGGATGCAGGGTTTAGGGTTCCGGGTTTATGGGTTTAGGGTTTCGGGTTCAGGGTTTAGGGATCTAGGGTTTAGGGTTCAGCGTTGATGGTAGGGGTTGCAACGAGTCGGTAGGGTTTTGTCAGGGCATGGTTTCATGGTGGTTAATATCCATGGAACATCATGATACTCATGACCTAGAGGTAAAGTGTAGGGGGATCCCAACACAATTCATCCTACATCCATGTTCCAACTGTCCGGGTTTACTGTAAACGTTTTTCAGGATTTGGGTAGCTTTCTAAATTACGGATTTACTGTAAACGTTTTTCAGGATTTGGGTAGCTTTCTAAATTAGGGTCCGCTTTTAGGTCCCCAATATAGTACGCTACCCTTATAAAACAGACCCCCCAAAAGGACCCTAATTTAGAGAACTACCCATTTGCAGGTTTGAGATTTAGGGTTTAGGGCTTGAAGTTTGCAGGCTTAATTGAAGGAAACTACAGGTGGGGAGTTTAGGATATATGGGGCTTCTATAAGGCTTCCATAAGGTATATAGACCTTCTATAAGGCTCGCAGAACGGTAACTACCCACCTGAAAATGTCCTAGATTAACGGTTTGGGATTCAGAGGCTCCTCCTTAAGGTTGAGGGTTTTTAGGGTTTAACCCTAAACCCTAAACCCCAAACCCTAAACCTTTAAACCCCAAATCCCAAACCATAAACCCTAAACCCAAAGCCCTAAACCCTAAACCCTAAACCGTTTAGGGCTCAGGGTCTTCCTGGCACATGCTGAGTTTTACGACTTTGCGGTTTGGAGGCCGCCGTCTTGGCCGGATACCTTCAGGTGTTGCGGAATTTGCAGCGGCCCGCTTGGAGTTTAGGGTTTATAGGGTTTAGGGTTTAGGGTTTAGGGTTTAGGGTTTAGGGTTTAGGGTTTATAGGGTTTAGCCTTCTTCTTCCTGAAAGGTCCTACCCTGTTGTCTTCAGAGCTTACAACTGAATTTGTAGCTTAACTCCTGGATTGGCACCTAAACTACTCTAAGAACCGTATGTCGCATTGAGGCACACAAACCGCTAGCAAAAACCTAAGGTAGATCCTGGACAGCCGGATTCCTTACATAAAGAACGCCTAAACCCCACACCTGTAAACCCCACAAGCCCTGAACCCCAAAAGGGAACCTTTCGTTTTGAGAAACCGGAAAGGGTTAAGGGTTCAGGGTTTTCGGTTTAGGGCCCTCTAAACACATAGGTTCCAGTTGCCAGTGCTTGGGATGAGCACAGGAAGGCGATTGAATCCTGCATGCAGCTGGGGTGCCGTTGGCTGTCGGAGTTGGCTAATTCTTTAAATTAGGGTCCCTGTCTAGGTCCCGCCGAGGAGTACGGCACCCTGAAAAAAGGACCCTAGAAGGCAACCTAATTTAGAGAACTACCCATTTAACATCGGAAGCCCTAAACCCTAAACCCTAAACCCTAAACCCTAGGTTTTAGGCTCTAAGGCATGGCCTCATGTTCAGTCGCACCGAACGGAGCGGTTGGAGCTGTGATCGACTGGGCCCGACTCAGCTAGACCCTGGTTTAGGGTTTAGGGTTTAGGGGTTTGGGGTTTAGGGTTTAGGGAGTATTGTGATCTCGGTATCGAATGTGCCGGTCCCATGTCAAGTATATTCTTCAAGTAGTCCCTGGACCATCTAAACCCAAAGCCTTAAACCCTACAACCC